CCCCGCGCAGCAAAACCCAGGCCGGAAGAAGTCCCCCCTTCCTGCCGTCCTTCTCCCCACCCCCCATACCTGCAGCAGCCAGAGTGAGGGGCCAGGACCTGGGAGCCCCACCTTCTGAACCCCGAAGCTGGCTGTCGGGATCCAGGCCTCCCAGCAGTCTTCCATGGCAGAGTGGGGCCCAGGGGCCCTAGCAGGACACTGCAGCCACTCCTAGGCAGAGCAGCTGTAGACCACCATAGTTTCCGGTGGGTCGGTCGCCCTGTTGGCCTGAAGGGAAAGAACACAGGTTGCGTCCAGGGGCACCTTTAAGGCCAGGGGTGCCCAGGAAAGCTGCCGCCTAGAATTAAACTTTGCTGGTCTCAAAGGTGCCCCTGGACTCAGCCCTTGTCTTCTTGACCGTTATGGCAGCATCAGGGGTCATTTACTGCTGAAGCGCTCCAGCAGGAAGGAGCCCAGGCCCCGCCCCCTTGCCCGTGGAGACACTGGGGGGGGGGGATTTAAAGGCCTGGGTTCCCTGCCCGATCTGTGGGGTTTTTTTGTCCAGCCTAGTGAATAAACAGGGCCATGCTGTCTTCACGCTATGGAAGCCAGAGGAGAGGGGAATGGGTTTCCTACCCGTCACTGTGTGAGCCAGCTGTGCATTCACACCACTGGCCTTTGCACTTGTGCACAGCAATGGCGTGGGAACTTCTAGAGCTAGACTAGTTACTGGACAGAATCAAGGATTTCAGTCTTGTTGCCTTGACCTAGGCCAGGCAAGCCTGATCTCATCAGATCTCAGAAGCTAAGCAGGGTCGGCCCTGGTTAGTTCTTGGATGGGAGACCAAAGCCCCGTGCAACCTGACGGCCCTTCCCCCCCCCACCACCCCCAAACTGTAGAGGACTCACTGGTCTTCTACGTAGTAGGATGGGTATCCTGGAGAGACTGGCCGGACTGACTGCCAACCAGCTATGGTCTACACTGAGCATTAGCATGCGACGGATGAGCTGCAGAGCCAGTTGATCCATCGTGTGCACCGCATCAGTTGTCTCAGTCAGTGAGCTGCCAGGGAGAGGGTGCTGCGGATGCAGCAGGACAAGATGGTGGCCTGGGGAGTTGAAGGTGGAGTCTTCTCCAGCTGCCCTTCCAAAAACAACATATGTCAGTAGTTAATTAATTATCGTAAGGTGATGGGTGTAGTATAGCCAGGAGATCCTAACATTGTCTGGCAGCAAAAAGTTCTAACTCTTTTTAGCATTACGCATTACTAGGTGGCAAACTAGAGTTGTTTTTTAAGACTTAGAGACAATTCAGAGGTGGTTCGCCATTGCCTGCTTCTGTGTTGCAGCCCTGGTATTCCTTGGAGGTCTCCCCATCCAAATACTAGCCAGGGCCGACCTCGCTTAGCTTCCGAGATCTGACGGGATCAGGCTAGCCTGGGCTATCCAGGTCGGGGAGGGTAACATCTGTCGGTATATAGCGACGGAGTTAGAGGCACCCTGCGAATAAGCGTCTCCAAAGCAGGCTCCGGCTTGAGCAGAAACGCCAACAGCTCTGAGCTGAGGGCAAGAGTTGGAATTTCCACACAGCCTCCCAGGACTGAAGGAGGACCAGTTGAGCGATGTGGTCAGTCTTCTGTCTTGGGTTTTTCTTTGTCTTATGAGTGGCAGAAGACTTTGCCCTCTTGTCTTCAGTTTCGAACAGGGCAGAGCCTCCAACACGATTCCTTCAGCACCAGAGGTTCCCTCCACACCAGTCTGGAGGAATGAGAAACGGTCGCTTCTGCCAGACCCTGAGGAGTGGAGAGGGCCTTCCACCCGACCGCAAACAGTTGCTGGTTTGCTCTCACTGGCTTCTAGAAGCACCATCCATCAGTGGGAGCGGATGGGCTTCTCCCCGGGGGCATCAGGCATACATCATGGCCATCTGCAGAGGGAATGATTCCTCTACGGGATGGATCTATGCATTTTAAAAATAACGGGCTGCACCATAAGTGCGAGGCACACCCAGGCTAACAAAGCGCTGCAACTCATTGACTATACTGGGAATAAGAAACTCGCCATGGAGAAGTACATGCAAGAAGACAATAGGCAAATCGAAAGAAGCTGTGAGGCACAGATCGGCTCCAGGGAAGAATTCTCCTGGGAAAAGTTCCCCCGTGTCGAGGCTGCTGCGATGGACTCAAGAACCGAGCGGGAGGCACAATTCTGCCCCCTTTACACATGTGCAGGCCAAAGCTGCGTTTCTGGGGGAGGGGGGTGTCCCGCCTAAAATCTAGCTCTAGACATTTCCCAAGTGCTGCGGTGTGCATCCTCTCTGCGAAAGGCACAGAGATACCACGAAGAAGTAACCAGGCCTGTCCCTGGCACAAACCCCTGTAGAAAAGTAAACACGGGCGAAGACAGACAGGAAACAAGTAAAAACCAACCCAGTTTGGGTAGAGTTCGTCATCTGACCCACGGAATGTGGGAGGCTCCCTCCGTGAACTTGGTGACTGTTTCTGCTGGCTGACTAGTATTTCCTCTTCGAAGTATGGTACTGGGGCAATCTTTGTGCCTGACCCAGTTTCTTCAAGGTCAGGCCATCTCATGTTTCCAGTCACATCCTGACAAAAGAAAAGAGGTTCCTAAGCCCTACGCCTATAGCACCCTACTAAAACAATGCTTAAGTTTCTTCTACATGTCAGATTTTTGCAGTCTGAGCAATAAATGAGTGATAGAACTCGGTGTTTATCCAGGCCTAGGCCAGCATCGTAAATCATTACACCACAGCTAGTCACTGTCAGGGTTCGGCCTAACAAGTCCTCTCCGGAAGGTAGGGAGGTTGTGGCGACAACCCAGGACTTGGAGAGGCCACCTGCTGAGGTGGCCACAGCTCATGGACAGGAGGCCACAGAAGAGCTCCTCAACAAAACCCACCCTTTGCCAGGGAGTCAGTGGGCACCCCCGGAGCCCTGGGGTAAAGGCTCAGGTCTGGTGGCAGATTGCCCAGTTGGCTGCCTGGGACCTCTCCTCCCACGAGGCTTGCAGTTTGCAGGATACTGGACTAAGCCCATCTGTAAGTGCCTGCAGGATTCTGGCCTTGGTGATGGCTGCATGCGCTCTCGCCGATGCTCCCTCTAAGCTGCGGGGTCTTGTGAGCAAGAATTCTACTTTGTGAGCTACTGGCATTAGAGTTGTGAGCAGGCGATTTCTGCATAAATTAGTTTGCTCTGGAGCCCTCCTTCCTGAGCTAAGACAAAAATGGGTGAGCTGGAGGCTAAAAAACTGTGAGCTAGCTCACACTCAGCTTAGAGGGAACAGTGGGCCACCTCTTGCCCACCCTAAGCAGCTTCAGTCCTCCCTGGGTGATGGGGGAGGGGGTCAACAATGCCCGCCGGACCTTGCTGCGGCCTGAGGTGGAAGTGCTTGGAGCACGGTCACCTCCATTTGCAATGTCATAACTTGAAGAAACACAAACTTCTTACGTTTATTCCAATACTAGCTTCCACAAGCGCTAACTGCGTCAGATGCCGCAATCTAGTAGGCTGATCTATGTATGCAACAGGCAGGTGTGTGTGTGTGTAGGGGGTGCGTACGTTACAAAGAGAGGCCCGTTCAAAACAAGATCCAAACCAGACAGTAAACAGATTCAGGTGGTGGTGGGGGGGTCGCCCTGTTGGTCTGAAGCAGCAGAACCAAGTTTGAATCCAGGCAGGCACCTTTAAGACCAACCGAGTTATATGCAAGGTGCGTGCACAGGAAGGCTTACACCCTGAATCAAACTTTGTTGGCCTTAAAGGTGCCCCTGGACTCAGAGCAATCACTCAGTTCCCTTGGAATGGGTGTGTGACACTCCCAACTATTGTTTTTCTTTAAGAGATAACATGTAAAGGTGCATGTGGGATGAAATGAGATAAGCAGATAAGGCAGAAAGTTACAGAGGAACAGCTGAAGTCATGAGCACCTGCAGGGGGTGAGAGGTGCAGGAAATTAGCATCTAAAACGAGCTCCTTCCAGAGTGAATTTGTTAAGGGATTCTAAGTCAGCAAGTTCCCCCTCCATTTTGAAGTCCTTCTGGCAAAGAAGAGTGACTTTAAGACCCCCTGGTTCCTCGGCACTGTCATATGACGCATGCCCACACTCAGGGGACAGGGTGCGTGAGGCGGCCTCCTGGGGTGTGGGCTCAGAATGCACATGGGTGGGAACTCTGGTGACGGGAACTGAAGGGAAGGAGCCCTTGGCACAGTAACGGGTGACCCTGGC